GGAGGAGCCAGAGCCCGTCCCCCCTGAGGCTGTGAGCACCAAGAAGAAGAAGAAGGAGATCCCAGACAGAGGCTCCTGGAAGGGGAGATTTGACTTCTTGCTGTCCTGCGTGGGCTACGCCGTGGGGCTGGGCAACGTCTGGCGCTTCCCGTACCTCTGCTACCGCAATGGGGGAGGTGGGTGTTGGGGGGGCAAGGGAGTGGGGTGCCTCAAGGCAGGGTTGGGAGCGTGCACCCTGGCCCCGCGCAGTGCTTGCTGGCCCCAGGTTTGCTGGGGTGGTGCAGGGCATGGGGAGCACAGCCATGCCTGGGGTTATTGCCCACTTTTACCCTCTGGTTCCTGCCCATCAGGTGCCTTCATGTTCCCCTACTTCATCATGCTGGTGTTTTGCGGTATCCCTCTCTTCTTCATGGAGCTCTCCTTCGGGCAGTTTGCCAGCCAGGGCTGCCTTGGCGTCTGGAGGGTCAGCCCCATGTTCAAAGGTAAGCTGCCCGTCCCCAGCAGCACAGGCCAGCACAGGACGTCTGCCAGCGCAGCCCCGGGCACATGGTACGGCCCCCGCACACCCCATGTGTCCCCTGCACGCACACCTCTGCCACATTACACAGCCCCATGCTGGCACCTGCAGCTCACACAGCCCGGCACACACATCACTGCCTGCATTGCATGGGTCCAGTGTGCACACACCCACCCTGGGCCGCACTGCCCTGCACACACAGCCCGCCTGGCGTCCTCTGCGTGCATTACACATGTCCCTGCACACGCGACACATCTGCGCATACCCCAGCCCTGCACTGGCATTCACTGCAGGCATTACAGACACATCCCTGCCCATGCCACATGTGTCCCCAGTGCGCCACTCTTGCAGAGGCCACTCAGGTCCCCTCAACATGCTGCGGGTGCCTGTGGCCCCTCTGGCTCTGGGCATGCTCCTGAGGTCCTCTCTCTGCACCACGGGCAGTGAGTGCTGTGCCCACGCGTGTGGGTGCTGGCTGTGCTCAGAGCTTGCCCTGCCACATATGGACCCCACTCTAGGTGCATCTCCTCGCACATCAGTGTGCTCCCACGCTGCCGGCTCCCCTGGCACACGCCAGGTGACATGCCCATGTGCCATGGCTGAGTGCAGGCAGCCCATGCACATGCTCCTACGTGTTCTGCACCGTAGTGTGCTCAGCCTGGGGTGCATTTCCCCATCCTTGTATGGCGTGTCACATGCCACCAGGTAGCTGCATCTCTGAAGTCACCATAGCCAGGAGAGACCCCCCCACCCAGTGGTTCTCTAGGGCTGCAGACCCCAAGGGTTTGCCTGCAGCCTTGCAGGCCATCCACCCCCAGTGCGTTGCCACATGTCCCAGGGGACCCTCAGCACCACTAGCTTTGCTTGGAGGTAGACAATCCCATGCGCAGTGCTCCCCACTCCAGTGCTACAGCCAGGCCCTGAGCTGCAGCATGGCTTACAAGGCTGCCAACAGCACTGCATGTTGTCCACTCCCCGACGCCACAATCCCTTGTGCTGTGTGCCGTGCCTGTGCCATGCCGCACCATGCCGCTCACCCCTCCCCGGTGCTGTTCCCAGGCGTGGGCTACGGGATGATGGTGGTGTCCACATACATCGGGATCTACTACAACGTGGTGATCTGTATTGCCTTCTACTACTTCTTTGTGTCCATGACGCGCGTGCTGCCCTGGACATACTGCAGCAATGCCTGGAACACGCCTGACTGCGCGGGGGTGCTGGATGGGAACCTCTCTAGCCGCACCGCCCTCAACCTCACCCGCCTCCTCAATGCCACCCAGAAGCGCACCAGCCCCAGCGAGGAGTACTGGAGGTAGCGGGGGCAGGGACAGGGGGCAGGGGAGGTGGTGGTTACAGGGCTCCGCTGACACTGGATGCCCCCATGCAGGAGATACGTGCTGGATCTGTCAGATGACATTGGGAACTTGGGCGAGGTGCGGTTGCCTCTCTTGGGATGCCTCGGCGTCTCCTGGGTCGTTGTCTTCCTCTGCCTCATCAAGGGCGTCAAGTCCTCAGGGAAGGTACCTGCGTGTTCCCCCTCTGTGCCCCACCCCCTGGGTGTGGACGTGCCCCATCTGCAGATGGCCGTGCCCCCTCTAGGCATAGCCCTTCCCTATTGGGAATTTGCCTCCCATTGTGGGCATGGCCCCACCCCTTCTGGGCACAGCCCCTCCACTTTTAGGAGTGGCCCCAGCCCTCTGTGTGTGCTCCTCCCACTCTGGGAAAGGCCACACCCCTTCTGGGCACAGTTCCTCCCATGTACCCATGCCCTGCCTTCTGACGGTACCCCATCCCGCTGGACCATACCCTCTCCTCCTGGTCCATTGTTCAACTCTGGACCATACATAACCCCTCCCTTGGTCCATAGACCCACCCCTGGTCCATAGCCCTGCCACATCACAGGCCACACCCTTTGTTGCCCCACCCCACTGAGGTGCCGCCCCACAGGTGGTGTACTTCACGGCCACCTTCCCCTACGTGGTGCTCACCATCCTGTTTGTGCGTGGCATCACTCTGGAGGGGGCCCTCACCGGCATCATGTACTACCTGACACCTCAGTGGGACAAGATCCTCGATGCCAAGGTAAGTAGGGACAAGGGGTGGCAGTGGCCAGAGGACCGTGGGTTTGGTGGGGGCACACTGACCTCCCCACTGCTGCAGGTGTGGGGTGACGCAGCCTCACAGATCTTCTACTCGCTGGGCTGCGCCTGGGGTGGGCTTATCACCATGGCCTCCTACAACAAGTTCCACAACAACTGCTACCGGTGAGTGGCTGGCTGAAGTCCCCCTGTCCCCCTGTTGTCCTCCGGGCCTGCTGCCGGTCCTGAACCTTCACCCCACAGGGACAGCATCATCATCAGCATCACCAACTGTGCCACCAGCGTCTACGCCGGCTTCGTTATCTTCTCCATCCTGGGCTTCATGGCCAACCACTTGGGCGTGGATGTCTCCAAGGTGGCTGACCACGGCCCTGGCCTGGCTTTTGTCGCCTACCCCGAGGCCCTCACCCTGCTCCCCATCTCACCCCTCTGGTCCATCCTCTTCTTCTTCATGCTCATCCTCCTGGGGCTGGGCACACAGGTAGGTCATGGTGGGGCAGTGTGGTGGGGTCACCATGTTGGGGTGGGGTGGCATGGTGGGGCCAAGGTGGTGACATGCTACCCCTTCCACCCCACGTGCAGTTCTGCCTGCTGGAGACACTGGTCACGGCCATCGTGGACGAGGTGGGCAACGAGTGGATCATCCGCAAGAAGACCTTCGTGACACTGGGGGTGGCTGTGGCAGGCTTCCTGCTGGGCGTCCCACTCACCACACAGGTAGGTAACCATGGGGTGGTGGTGATAGCGTGCCTTGTACCTGTGCCACTGCCACGGCCAACGTGCGGCGCTGACACCATCAGCCATGTCCACATTGGTGCTGTGACCACCCCGGTGGCGGTGGTGACACCTAGGGCCTGGTGTTGCCATGACAACACTGGCAATGGTATCCAGACCAAGCATCACAATGCTGACCCTGGCACTGGGCATTGACACGCCAGTCGCAGTGGTGGTGTCCAATCTGTTTGTTGCCATGGCAGCCCTGGCAGTGGTACTGCCACAGCAGCTGTGCCAACAGGTCCCTCTTGCAGGCGGGCATCTACTGGCTACTGCTGATGGACAACTACGCTGCCAGCTTCTCTCTGGTCGTTATCTCCTGCATCATGTGTGTGGCCATCATGTACATCTACGGTAGGTGCAACCACCTAAGGCAAATCAGCCAGCAGGGCTGCCTCGGCCAACCATTTGGGAAGGTGCTGTGCTAACTTCTAGCCAGCCAGCAGTTTGCTGTGTGCTAACTGGCAAGGCCATTGGCCAATCCAGGCAGCCATGAGCTGAGGAGCCTGATGGGCCCCACCACCTGGGGTCTGGAGCTGGTGCTGGGGGGCGTGGGAGAGGGCTTGGGGATCCCGCCGGGGCCCCAGCCCAGCTGCTACCGGGGCTGATGGCCACTTGTTCCTCCCAGGGCACAGCAACTACTTCAAGGACATTGAGATGATGCTGGGCTTCCCGCCCCCACTCTTCTTCCAGATCTGCTGGCGTTTCATCTCACCTGCCATCATCTTTGTGAGCATCCCGACTGTGGGGTACAGGGGCATGGGAGGAGTAGGCAAGGAGCTCACCTGGACACCCCACTCACCTGCCCTGGGGAGGAGGGTACTGGGCTGCGGGAGGGTAGCAGGGATGGGGCAGAGCAGGGCAACTGGGGACGTGCAGAGCAGGCTGGCTGCTCCCCACTGGCTGATCCTGCCTGTCCCTCCCCAGTTCATCCTGGTCTTCACAGTGATCCAGTACCGGCCTATCTCCTACAATGACTATGTCTACCCCACCTGGGCCATCAGCATTGGCTTCCTCATGGCACTCTCCTCCGTCATCTGCATCCCCATCTATGCTATCTACAAAGTGTGCCGGTCCGACGGGGACACACTGTTGGAGGTGGGTGGCCAGAGGCTAGACCCCCCTTGTCCATGCCCC